ATCTCCTCAGGACGACCTAATTGAAGGTGGAGTTGGTTCCTCCGGCCAGAAACCCGTACAGTTTGATCAACAGCCCCAGGAAAATGTCCTGGCTCTTGGGCTCCTTGCGTGGAACCGTTTGGTCCTTATTGTGGCGAATGTCAACTCCCATGATGGCGCCTCCTCCTTAGACAGGTCCAGAAAGCTCTTTGAGCATCTTTAAGACAGTTGTCTTAAAAAAATCTTTCTCTAAATGAATTAAAAAAAAAAATCTTTCTCTAGAAGATCTTCCCTCAGATCTTCTTCAGGGACAATTATTATTGATTTATTAAAAAAGCTTTCATATTTCTTTGTATGCCTCGTGACTTTTTTCTTTCTTTTTTTTTTTTTTTACAAAAATTGGACATTTGAATCTAATAATGTGGTAACTCTGGAAATCCATATCTCTCCCTTCCCTAGGGAGTGATTTTATTTTGTTGCTGTTTTTGTGAGTGCTGTTTTGTTTTTGTTTGTTTTTGATTGCTTTAGTCTGTCCCTATGTTGAGGATCAGTCTGAAATGAAAACTTACAATATTTTCACATTTTTTCTGAGCCCTTTCCGGACATGCATTCTCACTTTCTAACTTTTCCTATATACGTAGTTATTTTTTACATGTCTGGCTCCCAGAAAGAGAGAAATGAAGTGTAGGGAAAAGGGCACTGGCCCTCGAAGTCACTTTGACCAGAGGGGGAAGGGCTTGTAACAATGAGAGGAGGTGCTTCTTTACGAGATGAGAATTGCCAGGCAGAGCATAGATCCCTGATATTTGGAGAACAGAATTCTTTTTGCCCAAGTCAGCTGCCACAGCTGTCTTTAAACTTCTCCAGGAACACGTGCACAGTTGTCTGTCATGTGGCTGGGGGTGGAGAATACATAGGTGCTACTCCCCTAAGGGCTGAAATTGACTGAAATTAATTACAACTATTATCCTCCCCTGTTTTTTGCCCTGCTTTATTTAGTACTCCAATGCCAAACTTGCCTGTTACTCCAGGTATCTCTTGATTTCCTGTTTTTGCATTCCAGTCCTCTGTGATGAGAAAAACATCTTTTTTTGGTGTTAGTTCTAGAAAGACTTGGAGTTCTTCATGGAACCATTTGACTTCAGCGTCTTTGGCATTAGCGGTTGGGGCATAGACTTGGATTACTGTGAGGCTGAATGGTTTGTCTTGGAAACAAACGGAAATCATTCTGTCATTTTTGAGACTGCACCCAAATACTGCATTTCAGACTCTTTTGTTGACTATGAAGGCTGCTTCATTTCTTCTAAGGGATTCTTACCCACAATAGTAGATATAGTGGTCATCTGAATTAAATTCACCCATTCCTGTCCATTTTAGTTCACTGATTCCTAAAATGTTAATGTTAGGTCTTGCCATCTTCTATTTGACTACATCCAATTTGCCTTGATTCATGGACCTAACAATCCAGGTTCCTATGCAATATTGTTCTTTACAACATTGGACTTTACTTTCACCACCAGACACATCCACAACTGGGTGTTTTTTCCACTTTGGCTCAGCCTCCACATGGAACAGAAAATTGGTTCAAAATTGAGAAAGAAGTACATCAAGGCTGTATATTGTCACCCTGCTTATTTAACTTATATGCAGAGTACATTATGTGAAATGCTGGACTGGATGAACCCCATGCTGGACTCAAGATTGCCAGGAGAAATATCAATAACCTCAGATATGTAGATGACACCACCCTTATGGCAGAAAGTGAAGAGGAACTAAAGAGCCTCTTGATGAAAGTGAAAGAGGAGAGTGAAAAAGCTGGCTTAAAACTCAACATTCAAAACACTAAGATCATGGCCTCTGGTCTCATCACTTCATGGAAAATAGATGGGGAAAAAGTGGAAATGGTGACAGATATTCTTTTCTTGGGCTCCCAGATCACTTTGGATGGTGAATGCAGCCATGAAATCAAAAGACACTTGCTCCCTGGAAGAAAAACTTTGACCTAGACAGTGTATTAAAAAGCAGAGACATCACTTTGCCAACAAAGGTCTGTCTAGTCAAAGCTATAGTTGTTCCAGTAGTCACATATGTATGTGACAGTTGGAACTTTGGTGCATATAGGAAGAAGACAAAACAATAAACTCTGTGTCTGGTTAGTCCAATTGCATCAGTTTTTTATTTTATTTATTTATTTATGGCTGCACTTGTTCTTCGCTGCTGCATGAGGACTTTCTCTAGTTGAAGCAAGCTGGGGCTATTCTCTAGTTGTGGTGTGTGGGCCTCTCACTGCAGTGATTTCTCTTGTGGAACGTTGGCTCTAGGGTGCATGGGCTCAGCAGTTGCGGCAACATGGGCTTTGTTGCTCTCTAGCATGTGAGTTCTTCCTGGACTAGGGATCTGAGCCTGTGTCCTTTGCATTGGCGGGCAGATTCTTAACCGCTGACCACCAGGGAAGTCCAATTGCACTTGTTTTTATACACACCTTACTCTAGCTGGGCGCTGGGGCCACACATGTTATCTCAGTTGCCCTTGTGGTATCTTGGGGCTGTTACTGCTTTGCCAAGGAGACAAGGGAAACACTGACAGACTCAGATTTTTGTGTTGAGGAGAATAACACAAGTTAAAAGCCGTCATCCAAGTCATTCTTCCACTTTTGGTGCCCAACTGTCTTGAGCATCAAAATATCCTTTCCTCCCCAAGGTATAACTGCCCTCTTTCCTCAAAGGATTCTTAGTCTTGAGTTTAGTTATTAATATTTACACACCTTTCCCCCCCCCACTTCTCTGGCTTTTCCAGGAGTTGATTGGAAGAGGAAGCAGACAGTCTAAGGGAATATGTTGTACATTTTTGTACCCAACAAACCTTCTACTCTGGGACACCCAGTTTCATGTCTCACAATAGGAAAATCTCAGAACTTTCATTTATGTGGACCAATCAGATTAGCCCAGTGCCTATATTTCAGGCTCCATAGCATGTCTCCTATAGCTGATGGGGTTCAAGAATGATTTGTAATTCTAGACTCTTTACCTAAGTTGCAATGTGCATATATTCAGAGTAAACCCTGTCTGGATGAGAGTCGCATCTTGAAGTAATCAGAAGTTTTGCAGAAAATTGTCTCAGTTTAGCGGACTTGTTTTCTTATTCTTAAGACTGAGCAGAGACCCAAACTTGCATGTCTAGTGACAAGATTTCGCTGGTTCATAATGCCCCCAACATTGGCACGAGCAACTGGTGCTGCAGGATGTGATTCACAGTTGAAGGATTGGACTCCATCAATAAGACAGACAGGGAAGGGGTTCACAGAAGGGATGCCTAAAGAAATTCAGAAATGAGATGGCTAAGCTGAGTGTCCTGCAGCTGGGAAGATCATGGTCATGTGGAACCTTGTAGCATTGTGTTCAGAAGACTTGGCAAACAGTGTCAGAATGGTCACTCTCTTGGGAACTAAAGCACACTCACTGAACTGAAGCTGAGAGTTCTTTTCTCAGGACTGAGAATAGCCAAGTCAAATGTCAGTGATGGAGGCACTGAAAAATGTCCAAGTATTCACTAACCATGATAAATAGAGATGATATCAGGAAGATAGTTAAACAAATTGGGACTCCTGGCTTGGTGAATATGAATCAGAAGACACTGCGAAGAAAAATTTGTTATGAGTGCAAGAACATTTCATTTGAGTTTCAGGGTCACTGCTTGGTTTGATTTCAAGGGCAAAGAGTAGTGTAGATTTGGTACTTTGGTTCTACTAACTACTCAACCTGAGAGGTGAAGTGATACAAACCTATCCAGATTTGGCTCATCACATCTCCAACAGTGTGAGCATTGACTATATGCATGAGGAATGGTTCAGGAAGGAGTAGGGAGTAATAGAACCAGCTCACATTCCAGCTCTGGATAAAGTGGTGGGGGGTAGGGTGGGATATGCAGAGAGGAAGAAGGGCTCACACACAACATTCTTTCATTTTAATGACCATACAGTTATTTCTCAGGAAACACAACACTAACATTAGGAAAACAGTAAACGGATGCACATTTCAAGGATTATGGAGTTTACAAAGATCTTAAAACTGGTCTGATTTTCCCCACAGCTTTGCTTCAGACGGTGTATCAATAAGCTCCAGAATTTTTTATGCTTCCTCAGCTAAACTGTTTAAGCAAAACAAACAAAGAAACAGGTTATAGGTTTTGCAAAGTCTCCCTGGACTACGTTGGGTCATTTTTATCTCAGGGAAAGCCCAGAGGATGGCATCTCTTTCAGTGTCCCTCTACTTCCATTGATTAAACTTTCATTCTTCATTAATCTCTCTTTCATTCCCTCAAAACTTAGCCATTGTCTTCTACAAAGAGTGCTACAAAGAGTCACTAGGGATATTAAATGAATAAATAAAACAAATTTTCTGCTTTTGAAGTATTCATAAGGCCATGTTCCATCTCACTTTCCTAGAGATCACCCACACCGTAGCCCTGTTAGCTCTGAGGACCTCCTTCTAGTTTTATGACTGGGCAATGGTGAGGTGTGGGCTGGGAGCTTAGCTCTATAAAACAGCATGTTGCTATGGGAAGTTCACAGGTGTTGGAGTTCAAGGTTTGGGTCTGGGTGATTCTGTGCATGTAAGATGATTCAGCCCTGGATGACCAGATTTGGTTAGAAACCTTGCCATGCCATTTATTAATGTGATCTTGGGCCAGTTAGTTACCTCTATTGGACTTTGTTTCCTCATTTGCCATATAAAAATAATGATACACACCTATCTTAAGGTGATTTTAATTTTAAATTCTATCAATATATGTAATTACTTAGTGTAGTACCCAGCACTGGTGGTAAATGATGGCTGTAATTTTCTCTCTGGACTTTTGATTTCCTAACTGCAAACTGACAAGTGATTATGAGATCCAACCCAACTGTTAAACGTTTTGATTATGACAATCATTCCACCTCCCCTCCCCAGCCAGGATTTATTCTGGGATCTCAGAGCCTCTCCTTTTCCACTCCCCAATAACCAAGGATAACATTAAATTCCTTACTTTTTGAAATCTTTCTCACAGGCTAGTTGACATTCTATTTTAAGTTTGTAGTTGTTAAGATTGCCATCACAGCCAGAGTAGACAAAACTTTCACATAATTTGGAAGTTTTGTTGTAGAAATATCTGAAGTGAACTTCATAGCAGCTGCCAAATTTGATCGACATCGAGCAGGGATCTGCGTGAGAGGTTCACATTGAATTAGGGGGAATTAAAGAGCTTGTCTTCACAGGCCTTTACACATTTGCCACGGTAGTCTGGAAATACCCTATTCAAGGTCACTGAAAGACATTTGGTTTTCTCTTGGAATTAAGATCACCTGACAAGTTTGCCCTTGGGCATGCAAATTGATTAAAACTCCAGTTTCTGGTCTTCAGCGGTGATTTGGAGAGATGGTGAGCCATGAAAAAGGAGGTTCTATCAGTGGTGGTAGTGGTGACTGAGTCACTAAGTCTGTCTGACTCTTTGCAACCTCATGGACTGTAGCCTGCTAGGCTCCTCTGTCCATGGGATTTCTCAGGCAAGAATACTGGAGTGGGTTGCCATTTCCTTCTCCACGGGGTCTTCCCAACCCAGGGATTGAACCCGCATCTCCTGCTTGGCAGGTGGATTCTGTAACACTGAACCTCCTGTGAAACCCTTTACCATTATCTTGTGCAAAGTAATGATGTTCACCTTTCACATCTTACATTATATTAAAGCACAATCTCCTTCTCATCTTTCTCACCTGTTAACTGCCTGGACAGGACATACAATGCTTACCTTCCAGTTTTCATAGACTCACTATACTAACCATGTCCCCAATTTAAGTTAACTGTGCCTGCTTCTCAAACAGGATACATACCAAGATACATAACCTTGGAGGTAATACTCTTTCACCCTCACACCCTGTCATCTCTCCCCTTGTCCCCTTCCCAGAGGCAAACCTTCTGCTCTTAGTGATAAGAATAACATTTGTGGCCACAGCAGGGGAAGGAGAGGGTGGGATGAATGGAGAGAATAGCACTGAAATATATACATTACCATAGGTAAAACAGAGAGCCAATGGGAAGTTGCTATATTGCATAGGGAGCTCAGCTAGGTGCTCTGTGACAAACTAGAGGGGTGGGATGGGGTAGGAGGTGGGAGGCAGGTTCAAGAGCGAGGGGACATATGTATACTATGGTTCATTCATGTAGATGTGTGGCAGAAGCCAACACGACATTTTAAAGCAATTATCCTCCAATTAGAGATAAATAAATTTAATACAAAAATACCAAAAAAAAAAAAAAAAGAATCACATAGTAAGTGGTCCAAGCAGCTACAACATGGTTGTACTGGCAACCCAGAGATTGTTGTTCATCCTACTCAAGCAACCAGACTGGAATTTATTCCTTGGTAAAAGTACCGATTTAAATATAGTGACATGCACAAGCTTATTTTATACATACATCCTCTGATACAGGCATTCTTCTGATCCACATTTTATACAAGTGGAACTGAAGCTAAGGGATGGTATGGGATTGAGTGTGGACTAGTGTGCATATTTGTTAAATGACAAAGCTGGAATTTGGGGTGTCTGACTTACAGTGTAGACTTTTCCTTACACTTACAGTGTTACTTTTCCCCTATGTTCTGGAAGCACTTGAGCCTGTACATAGTACCTCCGAAAGAAAACTTCATTGTCTTTTATGTCTACATTGTAAGCTTCTCTAAACAGTAACCATATGTTCAAGTATTCTCTACTTCCCCAGAGCCTGTGGTGGTGCTAAGTTGCTTCAGTCATGTCCAACTCTTTGTTACCCCATGAACTGTAGCCTACCAGGCTCCTCTGTACATGGAATTCTCCAGGCCAGAATACTAGAGTGGGTAGCCTTTCCCTTCTCCAGGGCCTCTTTCCAATCCAGGGATTAAACCCAGGTCTCCTGCATTGCAGGCAGATTCCTTACCATCTGAGCCACCGGGGAAGCCTGGTTTGATTCCTGGTGCAATGCAGGAGACCCAGGTTCAATTCCTGGGTTGGGAAGTTGCCCTGGAGAAGGGATAGGCTACCCACTCCAGTATTCTTGGGCTTCCCTGGTAACTCAGATGATAAATAATCTGCCTGCAAGGCAGAAGACCTGGGTTCGATCCCTGGGTGGGGAAGATCCCTTGGAGGAGGGCATGGCAACCCACTCCAGTATTCTTGCCTGGAGAATCCGATGGACAGAGGAGCCTGGCAGGCTACAGTCCATGGGATTGCAAAGAGTTGGACATGACTGAGCAACTAGGCACAGCACAGATAGCTGATTTACAGTGTTGTGATAGTTTCAGGTGAACAGTGAAGGAACTCAGCCATACATACATACACATGTATCCATTCTCCTCCAAACTCCCCTCCCATCCAGGCTGCCACATAACATTGAGCAGAGTTCCCTGTGCTGGACCATAGGTCCTTGTTGGTCATCCATTTTAAATAGAGCAGTGTGGACATGTCTATCCCAAACTTCCTAACTATCCCTTCCTCCAGTTCTTCCCCCTGCATGCCCTTGAATGGTCTGGAATTTTTGAAATTTACCGTGAAACCCATAATTCAGAATACTTTTAGTCCTTTGCACTTCCTACAAAAGAGAATCCCATTTGGAAAGGACTTATTTGCATCACAGTTTGTTTTTTCTCATCAAACCTCCACAGGATGCCTAGAGTAGATGCCCCAACTCAAGGTAGTCAGCATTTATGGGTATTGATACTAAAGGAGGACCTTCTGGGACCATCTGCATATCAATTTTTTTTCTAATTCTTTCTTCCTCATTCTTAGTTGGTCCTTGGATTTATTTTCTGCTTCAATTTCATACCTTTGAATTTTCCACATATCATGTCAGTAATCCTAGTCATACCACCCATTAATGGAGTAGTCAGCAAGGAGAAGGTGAAGAGCCCCAGAAGAAATCCCAGCTCGATCAATTTCATGGTGCAGCCAGTAGCAAGTAGGAGAGTTTTGGTATCAACTGATGTTATATTCTGGGCCTGATACTTGAGAGGGCTGGGCCCACTTACCCCAAGGGCCAGGACTGGGCATTTCCTAGTGACAAGTTGGACAGTGAGTGCTTGGGTATCCAGCCATGAAGCTGAAGGTCCCAAGCTGATTTAGACCCCTGATAGTGAGTCACAAGTTTATCTAGAATGCAGGGCTTCTATGTATGTTTAACCATGGAGGGTAGAACCATCAGAACATTGAATAAAAGAGATTACTTCCTTTCCTCACCTTAACCTTCTACAGCAAAGAAGAGACTTATCCTGGTGCAACAGAAAGAATGTAATAAATACAACAGTAATGATAGTAGCTGTATGATCAGGTTACTCAAGATGGCTGTTCTATTGTTCTCTGTACATCCCCTATTTGACCAGTGCTGCTTCTCCTACTCACATGACTGACTTTCCTATGTACTTACCTCAGTATTCAGCTAGTGATTGTTATCAAAAGGGTGGTGAGAGGCATGTCCTTTTACTAGTTTCCCTGGTGACTGATGAGACAACCTGATGTCAAGTTCCCCTTTAACTACTACTGATCTCTGCCCCTCAATCTTGCTGGCCTCCAGAATGAAGTCTGCTGCCATGTCCTGTCCACTGTCTGCTGCACACAGTGGAGTGTCCTACAGATTCTCCCATCCATTAAACCTTTGATGTCTCTGTTGATGACTTTGGGCTCTTTTTTGGTCTTGAAGCTGGAAAAGTACAGGCCTTGCAGGCCTGCTGGGTGCAACCCAACAGTAGCTAAATTCTATAGCAATTTCTTCAAGAAAAGCACTGTTTAATTGAAACCTTATATCTAAGTCTGTATCTACATCTATTTCTATCTCATTAAATAATCACATGCACCCCATGAATTAGGTGCACTTGTGATCATCATTTACAGATGAAGATACAGGCTGAGGTTAAGCTATATGTACAAAGTCACATGGCCATTATGTAGTGAACACAAGATTTGAACTCACAACACTCTATTACCTAGGAATGTAGGACATATTGGTTCTGTTTTCTTGTAAGACTTTTACACTTGATCTTAGCCAAAAGGCCGAGAAGTGATTTCAAAAGAAGACTTTTGAAATTTTGACTTTCACATTTGCACCTCTAAGCCACCTGTTGTTGTTGTTCAGTTGCTAAGTTGTGTCTGACTCTTTGTGACCCCCTGAGCTGCAGCATACAAGCCTTCCCTGTCCTTCACTGTCTCTCTCAAACTCGTGTCCATTAAATCAGTGATGACATCCAGCCATCTCATCCTCTGTTGTCCCCCTCTCCTCTTGCCCTCAACTGTTTCCAGCATCAGAGTCTCTTCCAATGAGTCAGCCCTTTGAATCAGATGACCACAGCATCAGTCCTTCTAGTGAATATTCAGGGTTGATTTCCTTTAGGATTGACTGGTTTGATCTCCTTGCTGTCCAAGGGACTCTCAAGAGTCTTCTTCAGCACCACAGTTCAAAAGCAACAATTCTTTAGTGCTCAACCTTCTTTATGGCCCGACTCTCACATCCATACGTGACTACTGGAAAAACCATAGCTTTGACTATACAGACCTTTGATGGCAAAATTACCCTAAGTTTGTCATAGTTTTTCTTCCAAGGAACAAGTGTCTTTTGATTTCGTGGCTGCAGTCACAGTCCACAGCGATTTTGGAACCTGAGAAAATAAAATCTGTCATTGTTTCCACTTTATCTCCACCTATTTGCCATGACCTTGGACATGGGGTATCTGCTCTCGGCTGCTTGCCTCTCCAGTGCTGTGCAAAGAGTTTTGCCAAGAGAATGCACTGGTCATAGCAAACACCCTCTTCCAACAACACAAGAGAAGACTCTACACATGGACATCACTAGATGGTCAACACCAAAATCAGATTGATTATATTCTTTGCAGCCAAAGATGGAGAAACTCTATACAGTCAGCAAAAACAAGACCGGGAGCTGACTGGCTCAGATCATGAACTCCTTATTGCCAAATTCAGACTTAAATTGAAGAAAGTAGGGAAAACCACTAGACCATTCAGGTATGACCTAAATCAAATCCCTTATGATTATACAGTGGAAGTGAGAAATAGACTGAAGGGACTAGATCTGATAGACAGAGTGCCTGATGAACTATGGATGGAGGTTCGTTACATTGTACAGGAGACAGGGATCAAGACCATCCCCAAGAAAAAGAAATGCAAAAAAGCAAAATGGCTGTCTGAGGAGGTCTTACAAATAGCTGTGAAAAGAAGAGAAGTGAAAAGCAAGGGAGAAAAGGAAACATATACCCATTTGAACGCAGAGTACCAAAGAATAGCAAGGAGAGATAAGAAAGCCTTTCTCAGTAATCAGTGCAAAGAAATAGAGGAAAACAATAGAAGTAATGCTCAAAATTCTCCAAGCCAGGCTTCAGCAATACGTGAACCATGAACTTCCAGATGTTCAAGCTGGTTTTAGAAAAGGCAGAGGCACCAGAGATCAAATTGCCAACATCTGCTGGATCATCAAAAAAGCAAGAGTGTTCCAGAAAAACATCTATTTTTGCTTTATTGACTATGCCAAATCCTTTGACTGTGTAGATCACAATAGACTGTGGAAAATTCCGAAAGAGATGGGAATACCAGACCACCTGACCTGCCTCTTGAGAAACCTGTATGCAGGTCAGGAAGCAACAGTTAGAACTGGACATGGAACAACAGATTGGTTCCAAATAGGAAAAGGAGTATGTCAAAGCTGTATACTGTCACCCTGCTTATTTAACTTATATGCAGAGTACATTATGAGAAACCCTGGGCTGGATGAAGCACAAACTGGAATCAAGATTGCTGTGAGAAATATCAATAACCTCAAATATGCAGATAACACCACCGTTACGTCAGAAAGTGAAGAAGAACTGAAGAGCCTCTTGATGAAAGTGAAAGAGGAGAGTGAAAAAGTGGCCTAAAGCTCAACATTCAGAAAACTAAGATCATGGCAACTGGTCCCATCGCTTCATGGCAAATAGACGGGGAAGCAGTGGAAACAGTGTCAGACTTTATTTTTTGGGGCTCCAAAATCACTGCAGATGGTGACTGCAGTCATCAAATTAAAAGATGCTTACTCCTTGGAAGGAAAGTTATGACCAACCTAGACAGCTTATTAAAAAGCAAAGACATTACTTTGCCAACAAAGGTCCGTCTAGTCAAGGCTATGGTTTTTCCAGTAGTCATGTATGGATGTGAGAGTTGGACTGTGAAGAAAGCTGAGCGCAGAATTGATGCTTTTGAACTGTGGTGTTGGAGAAGACTCTTGAGAGTCCCTTGGACTGCAAGGAGATCCAACCAGTCCATCCTCAAGGAGATCAGTCCTGGGTGTTCATTGGAAGGACTGATATTGCAGCTGGAACTTCAATACTTTGGACACCTGATGCAAAGAGCTGACTCATTTGAAAAGACCCTGATGCTGGGAAAGATTGAGGGCAGGAGAAGGGGATGACACAAGATGAGATGGCTGGATGGCATCACGAACTTAATGGACATGAATCTGAGCAAACTCAAAGTTTGTGTAAGCTCCGGGAGTTGGTGAAGAACAGGGAAGCCTGGTATGCTCTGGTCCATGGGATCACAAAGAGTCGGACAAAACTGAGTGACTGAACTGAACTGAACTGATTTGCCATGAAATGATAGGACTGGATGCCATGATCTTCATTTTACCTAAAATTTATTATTTTTGGTAAAGTATAAAATAAAGGTACAATTTCTTTTTTTCAGTGCTTCTAGACCCGTTTATTGGTGACTTCCTCTTTTGTCCAGTTCCTGAACTATTTATTTTACTATGCTGTATATTCCTGCTCCAAAATCATGCTTAATTGCTTGCATTTTGTATTATTTTAGGGTTTTGCATTTTCATATACATTTTATTTATTTATTTTGGATTAGAGAAAAGTTTATTGTGGGGCCAAACAAGGAGAACTGGTAGCACATGCTCAAAAACCCCCAACTCCCCAAAGGTTCTGAGGAGAGGAGAAGTTTTCATAGGCAACATTTGGGGTGAGGGCTGTAGGATATGTGACTTCCTTCTGACTGGTTGGTGGTGAGGTTATGTGGGTTGTCCTCCAGGAATCTTGTGCTCATCCTGAAGTTACCATCATCTGCCTGAGTGTAGGCCTTAGTTCCGAAAGAAGAACTCAAAGATATTGTATATATTCCTCAAGGAGGAACCAGGACTCTGTCCCAAGTTTGCACTATTTTTCTTGACTGCTCCTACCTTGTTTCTGCATCACTTCCCTTCCCTGATTAGCATATGTTTGAATCTGTTCATATACATTTTATTTTATTTTTTTAATTTTTGATTGCACTCTTTGTTGCTATGCATGGGCTTTCTATAGTTGTGGTAAGTGGGGGCTACTCCTCGTTGCAGTGGCTTCTAGCACAGGCTGTAGTTGCAAGGGCTTCAGTAGTTGCAGCATATGGGCTCAGTACTTGTGGTTCATGAGCTTTAGAGCATGGGTTTAGTAGTTTCAGCACACAGGTTTCAGCTGCTTTTGTGGCATGTGGCATCTTCCAGGACCAGGATGTGTCTGCTGCATTGGCAGGTGGATTTACTCATATACATTTTAGAGTCTGTTAAGACTTCAAAAGATGGGTCTTTTGATACCCATCTTGGATATCGTTTTGAATTGCATTGAATTTACAGACCAGTTTGAAGAGAATGATATCCTTACAATATAATCTTCAGTATACAGTTCATCTATACAGGTTTTCATTATTACCTGCCAAGAACGGTTTATGGTATTTACCATACAGGTCTTGCAGTCTTAATTATATTTTTGATATTATTGTAAAAGTTACCTTTAAATGATGCATTTTTCCTGTTTCTGATGTACAAAATGTTATTCATATTATACATTAATCTTGTGTCCAGCATAAACATTTCCTTAATGAGTAGTGATGTTGGTGATCTTTTCATATACTTACATCATATACTTATACTTATGTTCATTCTTATGTCTTCTTGGATGAATGTCTAGTCAGGACTTTGTCCTTTTTAAAATAAGATGTTTTGGCTTTTCCTCCCTAATGAATTGTATGATTTCCTTATA